ATGGCAGACGACTTCGGACTCGGTGCGTTCTACATAGTCTCTCTGAACACAAGACCAAGTTGCGACAACGTGGTCAACTCACTTCTATAAGTCGAAAGGAGACTGCGACCATACCCGAGGCCACAACATCTTGGTCTTCACATCTTCAAAAAGAAGAAGCTTGAACCCAGGACGATTGTTCAATAACAGGAAGAGGCATCACCAAGGCACTCATGAGGAGCACAGGGAAGTCAAGAAAAGATGGCTGTAGTGAGAAGAGTTAAACCAGGAATTGGTCAAAAATTTATCCAGAGGGGTGTACCTGTGCGACGTAGGATATTAAACTAAAGGTGGGCCAGATATAGATCATCAGTGTGTGTGCGCATGTGTTTGCGCGCATTTTTCGTGACTGTGCCTGAAAGCAAGGGGACTGGTGACAGGCTTGACAACTGGGGATACCAGCTAACACACACACATGAACATCATCCTAGTACCCTGGATTAGATGGTAGTGCCAACTTGAGAGACGAGAGGAGTGTGTTTCTGGTGATTCAGGAGAAAAAAAGGAAGCGGTACATTTTCACACCGGACACAGGGCCCCAAAGAATGAGACATAATATGAGTGGGAATAAGGGAGAGGATAACCGAGTCATGGATTTGAAGCTTATGGAGAGGAAAGGTCCCAGGCACTGACATGTGCATGGGCATGAACATGGCTATCATCTGCTCTAAATCCTCGAATATGGCGTGATAGATGACGGCAATTGAAGGAAGCTCTTAGGAAGCCAGATCTCAGGCAGAAAAATAGTACTTTTGATGTGTAGCAGCAACTAATTGACAAGCGGGTAGAAAAAAAGGGGGCCGAATGTAGGTTACGATCCCAGGAAACGACACCGGTGGTGGAGATGATTACGCCGCCCTAAACCCACTTGTAACGACACACTCTTGGCTACATTGGAGGAAACGAGAGCACAGAATTGTGTGAATAAGTAGATGGGCCATGTGAAGTGAGTTTGACAAAAAGATATGCGGCACTGGAGGGTAGAACAAAATAGGGGCGAGGAATGATGTCATAACGGTTGAACAGAAAATTGATCAAGAGGATTGTCTTTACTTGAAACTTTGATTAAGATATGCTTATTGTGCTTACGATGGCGTCTCTCGCTGACAATGCCGGCGAAACGTTTGTGAATGTACCAAGCCAATGGTCAAATGCTGGAAACCACGAAAACTATCGCATAGGACACAGGACTAGGTACGTTCCGCAAGGTCTCCCTGACGCTCCAACCAAATTATGAAAACAAGGTCGAACCAACACTATAAAGCTGAAGGAGACTCAACCAAACAGAAGGCCACACCACTTTGGTCTTCACATCTATGCAATTAATTATCCCTTATACTCACCTTTTCAAACGATATGGAGCTTATAACAACATCAAGCTTCTCCGGGGTTCTTCAAGTTCCAGTATTACTTCCTTTGGCAGAATATGTCAAGCGGAAAAGGATGACATTCGCTGGCGTTTTGTGTGAAGATCCTCCACCATGGTCAGGAAATAGTTATCTGCTTAACAACTGACTAAGGGTATTCTTCTCCTTGCTTCAGCCAAATCTCTTACAAAAATGTTTCACCATATAGTACTTTGTTGCTTTGTGATTCCCTTCTGCCAACTGACCGACTGGCACTCAACTGAGTGTGTGGCGAAGTGGTAATCTGTCGAAATTATTCGTGGCACTACCAAAACCTGGGTTCAATTACCGTTGAGGGTGCTGATGAGACCAGTTCAAGCGAGGTCTAAACTGTACTCAATTCCAGCCGGTATGATTATACTTTTTTTGGGAAGCAGGGCTAAGTTGAGAAGTGGTTTGACCTTGTTTTCGCAACTTGGTCATGTTGGTAGGAAGACTTAGAGGAACGCACCTAGTCCGGAGTCCATTGTATGCAGCATCATTTCCAGATTAGGACCGTGGACGTGGTACATTCCCAGACGTTTTGCCGGCATCGTAGTCTGCATCGTCAGTGAGTCTCGTCATTCTTAGCACCACACAACAACTCGTTAAAGAGACAAATGATGCCGATCCTTTGACCAAATGTGTGCTGAATAGTTGTGGTATCTCCGCTGGGAATGTACCACGTCAACGGTCCGACTTTGGAAATGATCATGCATACAATGGACTCCGGACTAAATGCGTTCCTCTAAGTTGCGAAAAAAAGGGTCAAACAACTTATACACAACGAAAGGAGATTGCGACCACACAAAAGACCACACCATCTTTGTATTCATACCTTCGAAGGCTATGTTAAATTCATTGGAAACATGAGGTATATTTATATGATTGTGGGATGAATTCATCTGTTAGACCTTCATGAGCTCATGACACTTAGGGTGATTGGAACTTGAAACTGAACGATAGAATTTAGGCTACAGACCGAAATTAAAAAGTGCCATCAAAGCGAGCTGATGTAGACTTGACATCGCCGGTAACTTGACCGAGTCGCAACAAAGCTTCACGATTGAGGCTACAACTATTTTGCAGACTTATGTCAAATTGAGGAATAGGCTGACTCGATCGGGATGGGAAAACCAGTTGGCCGACATGTATTTCAGGTGGACCGATAATAGGAAAGGGAGAAAATGTCCCCTCTTGCCTGGCTTCGTTTGTGATTTTCCCTAATCCCCTACAATGCAGATCGGGCATGTGTCAAAAGGCTCGATGTTCAGTACCTCTTCGACGGGGCGGACGAGCCGGCGTATTTTCTTGAGGCTGAGCCTAGTGGATGGTTGTATCAAGCTGCAAATTTCCAAATCACACTGCAATGTGAAGGAGCAGGGATAAAATAAATCTGATAATTTACCGCAATTCATGATAAAAGTGAAGAGATTAGCCCGCTGCCAAGCTGCAAGCTTTGCATGACAAAGTGAACAACGCGCACTGCTCGGAGGGAGGGTCTTTCCACCATCTTGGGGCTAATTTTGTGCCTGTACATCTGGTGCTTCACAAGAACCGAAGGTTCTGTGTCTTGTCTTGTCTGCCGAGTCCGGCCGGCAGTCGCTGCCTGGCCTGGTTGACTGTGGAAGAAACTTCAAACCGCTGGCTGGGACAATCAGCTTAGTCGGTCTGCGTGTCTGACGGCAAAAGTATACAAGTCTGTCTGTATGTGGCCAGATCGAGGCGACAGGAGGTGAAGTCTGTGACACTGTTGGATGGAGGATTCGTCTGCCGACAGAAAGGGGCCGGCCAGATCGTAGTCGTTGGAAAGAGGCATCCAGTTTCTCCGCTTCTTCCGCTTCTTGTCTTACCCCACACACCTCGCCGAGTCAACTCACCTGGTCGGGTTGTCTTATCAGCTCGCCTTAGGCCGGGGTTTCGCAAGATTTCATGTGATTCATAGCTAAGTGAATCTCGCCCGTGTACCACCGCAAGGTGGACAGGGGGCCTGGGGATTTCTGCAAGACTAAGGGAATTCTGTAGATTGTGTGTGTTAATCCTGAAGGAGTAGACACTGTGTGTGTACAAAACATTGGGCATTTCTTGTGCGCTGGACTGCGTGTGTGTGTGTGTGTGTATGTGGTCAAAAGAAGGTGAGGATTGGGGCCGGCAAGACTGCACCTGCGAAGGGGCCTTAGTCCAATTGTGCCTGTTCAGCCTCGGATGCGGTGGGTGTGTCCAAACGTTCCGTCTTGTAGATCGAATTGGCTTTGAGGCAAGGTTTTGATGAAGGGGGTGGCAGAGTTGGCCCTTTCCAGACCGAAGTGGAGATCTGATAACGCCACATCCTCCAGACCAAACACCTTCAGCCACCTGCTCAGGCCCCCGTCCCTGTCTGGCCGTGGAGCTGACACCAAAACCGGCCAAACACACCTTCTGGCCCCCTCCAGTGCCAGCCTCTTCAGCACTATAAGCTTCAGATAAGAGATTTGCTTCAACTCAGGGGCACACAGGCGCACAAACACACTCGCACTCACGTGTCCGCATATACACAATGAGGAGGCCTGACCATCTCACCTTTATCGTCTAGTGTGTCTATATCGGATGGAAAAGAATGCCATTCGCTGGCGTTTCGTGTGAAGATCACCTACCATAACCAGGAAATAGTTATCGGAGTAAAAAGTGCTTAAGGGTACATTTGACTACATATGAGTGTATATTTTCATGCTCTCACACAAGTTGCCAGGTTATGGTGGGTTCATGCTTTTGAGTCCCACATATTTCGGCTTAAGGGGAGGATGTGCTGCCCGAAAGAGAGAATGATCATGAAAGTAAAAGGGGCCTAAGCCTTGGAAGAAAATAAACATAAACCGTTTTCTTCATTTTCATATCAGACCTTGGATGAACTTCAATTAGGCATGTTGGATGTCAATTACCTTCCTGCTTCACTCTCACCAGCAGCGCAGCGGGATTCGAACCATGGATGCACGGGTTATGAGGCAATAGCGCCACTCGCCAACAACACTGACCTGAACCTGTCAAGTTGCCTGGGAAGCATGCATTTCAATACATATCAGACCTGTGCTAACCCACATCTTTAGGAGAGGCTTTAATATAGAGTGGTCATACCAAATTGTTCATCATACTTACTTGCACCAAATGAGATTAGGTGTCGAAACAACCTGTACAAATATTCATAAACTCTCGAGGCTCAAATTAATTTAGTTTCTAAACACACTGGTTTGGTGTGTAAAATCGTATGTATTCAATTGTATTAGCAAAATTTAGCTCGCTTTATGAAAAAACATTTCCAAAATCAAAATTTTAATTGCTGAGTATGTTCTTATATAAGAGCTAAATCCTTCTTATTTCGTTGATGAAGGACTGGTAGCAGGCCTCATTTTTCCAGAGAATTTCGCATAGCATTAACTCTGATACGGTATCCTCATCCAGGGAGGAATGAGGTTGCGACCTCAACTAGGTCTCATCAGCACACCAACAGGACCCATATCACAAGTGGTATTTACTATTGCAATCAACTAGATTACTTAGTTTCCACTTTATGAGTTGAATTTAGAGACCACCAGTAGGTTTAATATACTAGCTGTATTCATCCAATTTAGTTTAAGGCAATTAAGGGTTCGAATCTCGCTCGAGGGCTAATGATTGGGGGAAAAGTCATCTACAATTATAGTCTGCTACTCTGCCATAAATGCCAGTTCTGCACAGGGCAGATGTTACTTTTAAGGCAAGCCATATCACCAAATTTCGAGCAGACAGTGGACAAAATGTTTTTCTTTCATAAGTAAGATTTAGATACTATAAGTAAATCATTGTGGATACAAAGAGTAACTGGGTTTCGATAAATCTCCTGAGATAAAATTTTTGGGGGGATTTTCATTTCGTATGAAAGTGCATGAAGAAGAGATTCGTAGGAAGATCTCACCAAAGGTAGGCTTTTATACAATGTTCAGATGACGCAGTCCACGAAACCTTTTAGTTATGGCTATGGCAAAAAGACTATCCGGCTCTATCTTACCTCTTACAGTGAGTCAATTAAGCAAAATAAAATTAAAAACCTGGATAGATATAAAATGGTTTGGTAGGATAGAGCCGGATAGTCTTCGTGCCCTAGTGCTAACTTGAGACTTTTACAAGAATGAGTTTTAGCTCTGAAGATGTTCATCATATGATGAACGAAAGCTTAGCCCGTTTTCATCCGAAACGAGGAAAGAGGTCTCGTGGACTGCGTCAAACCGAACTTCGTATTAAAGCCAAACGGCGGCAGTACAGCGGGATTCATCCGTCCCCTTCTGGTGAGATCGACCTACGAATCTCTTCTTCATACACTTTCATACGAAATGAAAGTCTCCCAACATACCAGTTAATCATTTATAGGAGATGCATTCACCCTATTTCGTATAAGGTGATGAAGGAATGGTAGTTGAATTTTCCCATATTGATATGAGTAGAGTTGACGCCTA